AAGTGGAGACATACATGTTTCTGATTCATAGCCTGACTTGCTTCACTCAGCAATAAATTTTACATGTCCATCCACTTTCTATTAAATGCCAGGGTCTAGTTTTGTTTTTTTGGGTTTTTTTTGTATTTTTTTTTGTTTGTTTGTTTTTATGGCTGAATAGTATTCCATGGAGTATATGTGGCAATCTTTTTCAATCCATTCATCTGATTGTGAACATTTGTATTGGTTCCATATCTTAGCAATCATGAATAACATCACAATGAATATAGTTGTGCAAGCTCTTTTCTGTCAGAGCATTCTCCTGTTCTTTGAATAGATACCAGGAGTGCAATTGCTGGATCATATGTAGTTCTATTTGAAGGTCTTTGAGGAATCTCCATATTGTTCTCCACAGTGGCTGGACCAATTTATGTTTCCACCCACAATGTAGGAGAGTTCCCCTTTCACCACGTCCCCACCAGAACTTACCATTTTTTGTTGTTTTAGTCTTTGCCATTATGACCAGGGTTAGGTGGTATCTTATTGTGGTTTTGATCTGCATCTCCCTTATGATGAGGAATGTTGAGCATTTTTTCATTTTGGCTGTTCTTGTGTCTTCCTTAGAAAGGTGCTTATTCAGCTCATTTTCCCATCTTTTAATTGGGTTAATCATTTTCTTCTGGGTTAGTTACTCACGTTCCCTGTGTATTCTGGTTATTGGTTCTTTATCTGACACATAGTTAACAAAAATTATCTCCCATTCTGAGGCGTTTTGTGTGTGTGTGTGTGTTTTGACATTGTGGTCATTTTTAAATTTTGTATTACATTTTTACCTCCAAAAGTTCCCATGCTATTTAAAATTATTCAAACAAAACCAAGAATTGGGAATCTTAAATAAAATTAATTTCTTCCTCTAGAACCAGTAAGAGGCAAAAGGAACACATGAAGTCCATATGGCTCACACAAATGAGTTCAGGGTAGAATTCTATGGCCCCTCCTCATCTAGATAGAAAAATTCAAGATGTCATATATTATAATCCTCACAATATTGATTTGTCTATCCAAATGTTAGGCTGGATTCAAACTGTTCCAATATTGGGTGGCTGCTTTTTGCTAGATAAAAGAACATATATGCCTTGATTTCTGATAGAGATTGGATAGTTTTGTTTTTGTTTTTGTGTGTGTCTGTTTTGTTTGTTTTTTGAATTATTTTATTTAGCTTTGCCTCTCCTGCCCTTTCTGGATTCAACTTCATGGCTGTGAAGCACCCCAAGTCAGGGACCCCTCTTCCAGACCACAGTGTTAGAACAGAATCCTTGCAGACATCTCCATCTGTGCCTCTGCTGCCCATTCTGGGTTCAGCTTCACAGCTGTAAAGTCATTCCAGCCAGCACCACCCCCCCCCCGACCACAGCCCCAGTCAAATAGGCAAATTCTCTCTCTTTTTCTCT